TTGTTTAACTGGTTAACTGATTAAGGTGGGAGCCAGTGGTGGGCCTGGGCTGGAGCAGCCTTCTGCCACAGGCAGGGGCTGATCTGGTGTCCTGCTCGGAGCAGCTGCCTGTAGGGAGCCCGGGCCTGCTTTGGACAGAGGTTGCACCATCAGGGACACCGGAGCAGCCCTGCCTTGTGGTGGGCCCCCCGCAGGGCTGGAGTAGCCTCCTGCTCGCAGCAGGTAGGGAGCTGCTCCAGCCTAGGGATATTAAATATCGGTTAATTGAATTGTCGAATAACTTCATGAATTCTTATTGGTTAGTCGACTATTCTATAGACCCCGGGGGTGGGACCGGCAGCCAGTGTGCTCAGGCCTCACTCCCAAGGAGCCCCTGCCACTCTGTGCTGCTGCCTCTGTATCAGAGGCAGCAACGCAGGGTTCCAGGTGAGTGCTGGTCTGCGAGGGGAGCCAGTTTAAAAACCAGTTCCCCTTGCGGACTGGCTGCCTGTCGCCCTGTGATGTTGCCTCTGATACAGAGGCAGCAGCGCTTGGTGGCAGCAGCACCGGTGCAAGCCAGAACTGAGCCGGGCTGCCAGTACACTTTAAATACAGAGCTGCAGCGGGGGTAGGTCCCGGACATCACAGCCAGGACTGAGCCGGGCTGTTGGCCAGCTTGCTAAAAATGTACTGGCAAGGGGCGGGGAGGGAAATGCGTGATGTCTGTAGCATTAACTATAAGCTTTTGCTTATCGGTTAATTGGTTAATCAACTACACTTTCTAGCCCTCACTGGTTAACCTTAACTGGTTAAACCTTCTCGTCCCTAGTCTACCATATACTCTTAATACCATTTTGTCACAGAACCAAGCATTTTAGCTGACCCAGTTCAGAGAGGGAGAGAAGTGTCCATCACACCAGGTGGCCCACAATCTGAAAAGGTTGAATTGTTGTCAGTAATGGTAGTATTGAGGGTAGGACTGTTTTTGGTAATGCACTTAGCAGAAACGTGGACTTAACCCAAACACTTAATGCCAGCTTTAAAGGGGCATTGTATTTGAGCATCAAATATTAGTGCAAATTGCAGTGATAAAACTAGATGAGTATAGCCTTCTTGGGTCCTGGAGCTCTTTGCCAGCATTAATTTGTTACACCTCACAAACCAGCCTACATCTGCAGGTTGGTTTGTGAGGTATAACAAATTAATGCTGGCGAAGAGCTCCAGGACCCAAGAAGGCTATACTCAAGTACCACGCATGTGGCAAAAGAAGCCCATGAGAGATCATGTGACTTGCTTGAGGTGTCACTCGGGGCAGTACTTTTTTCCCTCTATCTGGTAATGTTCTTTCGTGGAAGGAAACTCAGACAGGTTGGGCTAGCGTACATGGGCTTATAGATGCTTTGTGGCTATAAGTGGTAGGGCACTGTTGTGTGAGGTGTTGTGTAAGTGGGGGGGCCAGCAAATACCACGGAGGGGGGAGTGTTTTCAAGATTCTTTGCACAGAAGAACTGGAATTTTCATTCCTTTTGCTTAAGGCATCTGTACTACTTGGTTCGCTGCGGAGTTGTTCCTTTGTCCCGTCGGAAGGCTGAGGCCGCAGGGCTTGTACATTGGAGCACTTGAGTAGAACTGAGGGTGCTCAGAGGTCTGGAAAAGGCCCCCTCCTTGGTGATGTAGGTTACACTGACCTAAGTGCCAGTGTGGATGGGGCTATGTTGGTGGGAGGGGAGCTTCTGCTGATGGAACTGCTGCAACTCTGGGAGGTGGAGTGATTAGGCCCATCATCAGAGCGCACTGGCACTAGCAGCCCTGCAGCTGTGCCTTGGGAGCTATTCTGGTATAGACCAGTCCTTTGTGTTGTGTGGAGGTGAGAGCAGAGGGGGCTGTTAACAGCTCTCCAAGTGTAAAGGGGCCATCTGAAACCAGCGTGAATGTGCATCTGTCTCCTTGCCAAGGGCTTTCCGTAGCTCCACTGAATGCATGTGAAAGCTGGTCAGACGGGTAATAAAGATGAGCTTGTTTGCACAGTTGCCAAGACTATCTAGCAAGGCTGCCTTAAAAGCTCTGGGATGCACTAGATGGGTTTCTTGTCTCTCTTTCGCTGGCTTTTTCTTCCCAATCCGGCAGTCTGCCAGTTAAAAAGGGCCTGGCACCGCCCTAGCAGCAAGGCCAGACCTTTCCCAACCATTGCTGGTTCGGCACCCCCACCTCTCCGTTTCCACCCTCTGAGTACCTGTGCTATTGCCACCGGGTTTGCAAGTGAACATGGAAACTGTGGTCACAAGGAAGTCCCAGAGCAAGCCCGGGCCAGTGTCTGACACAATTAATGTCCCCGCCATCTAAGGGTAGCCTGGGTGAAATAAAGTCCTGACCTTGGTGCCGTCCCCAGGGATAACTCACAGGGCCTGTCCTGCGGGCTGCTCTGCTTGTTACCAGTCTTGGCAGAGAGGCCTTTGATCTGAATTAGGGTTGTAAAAAGTCGTTTAAAAATGTAACCACTCAACCCCCTAACAGTTACGTGCACTGCGAGCTCTGCAGGATAAAGCTGACAAACTTTATACCTCAAAGCCTGCAGTGCAGCCTCCCTA